CATCGAATAAACATGTATAATTTATTTGAGATTTATATTTATAATTAATTATATAAACTGGATAATATAAGAGACGTTCTTGTTTCGATATTATTTTTAAATGTAATGAATCAACTCGAGGTTCATCAAATTTTGGATAGACCTATTTAATGAAAAACAAATAACGATATAGTACTTCACAGAGAAACACTGAAGAGAAAATAGAAAATTTTCTGTACTTTGATTTATAGTTTTTTGTATACATTATCAAAGAAAATTAATTGGTATATGTATTTGACACTATTGTCGACGACATGTAAATTGAAATTAAGATTATTTAGTTTAATTTTTTTTCTATTTATGATTTTAATACGAAGAGAACTTCTAATGATTAGATTATTTTTTGCGAAATTATCATTGTCAAAAGCTACATGACTAGTCAATCAGATTTCTTATCAATACAAGTGATTTTGTGAGTTTCATGATTTAATTGTTTTTTTTTTGAAACTTAATTGCTAAGAATAACATACTAAGTAAATCTTGGTTTCAATTTCAGTTCAGTTTTGTCAAGCTTCAAGACTTCAAGAAATATTATACAAATATTAGAATGTATTATTTTACAAATGAAAAAACATTTTAATGCTGAGTCCAATTTATCTGCAGACATGGATCATTCGTCAGTCTTCGATATAGTACTATTTAGGGCTATCCAAAAGTAGTGGCAGTGGTAAGGGAGAAGGCCAAAAACCTATCCAGGTAGAATGATAAATGATACAAGTGAAACTAAAAGTCGAAATATACAATTTATCTAGTATGTATAACGAAAGGTAAAGCAAAAGAAATATATATATATATAAGTGTAGCCTGAAACGCGTATTATAAAACTAAAATTTTTGAAAAATTAAAAAATATTAGTAATAGAATTTTAAAATGACAATTTAGTTTTTCTTAAGAATGAATACCAACTCGATATCACTTTGTTTATCATTTTTAGTATAACACAAAAAGGGCACAAATATTGCCGCAAGATATCAAAATTTGAGTTTGAACTTCGAGAAATTTTAACTACTAAAATGGTCAAACCGTGATTGCACGGGCGTCCTATCGGAGAAAAAGACGGATGTGAAGCGGCCACATCTGTTCCGATCTCAAAATTTCTCAGGCGAAGCGGCCGCCTTCACTCCGCCCCCATACGAGCGACGCACGTCCCTGGCACGTTGGCAATCACTAGCCGAAGCATATATTGTAGAGTCCCTTGATCTACAATATATGTACAAATTTGCCGTGTTTCACATCCATCATGTAGCGATTGTGCTAACAGATTTTTTTCGAAATTATTTAAAATTAATATTTGTTTTGTTGATACACATCAAAGGGTGCGTTTAGACATAGAACTTGTCTATCATATTTCCATTTTAATTGTTTTTTACAACAAGATATTCTAACATTTCTGCTGGTCTTGTTGATATTTTAATAAGAATCTATGCTAAAATTCCTTTCAAAATCAATCATAACAAAGTTCTGTTCTGTATGATTTTCATATAGGTGAAATCGATATTGATGGCCAACAGATCGAATCTTATCTATTAGAGTTGGAATGATCTAATTTCCACATGTTAGTTTCATTAGAATCACTAGTAATCAACTTCATTAGTTGAAAATCGTAATAAAGAATCATTTCCTGATAAAGTTTGTTTCAAACAGTTGTAAATTCTTCTTCTACTATAAACGGTTTTTTATACAGAATTAGTGTGGATTCATTTTATAAATGTTTCTTTATCTGTCCACGTACTGTTGTTTCTTAATATATGACAAAAACAAACGATATACAATTAAAAAAAAAAGAATTTTCGTTTCATTGGTTATCTATCAAAGACATTTATTCATCAAGATTTGTATCTATCTACCTTTTTTGCTTGTTCAAGACACATATTTTCTAATAAAGGTTTTATAATAAGAATCCATGCATTATTAAATGCTGTGTCTTGGTCAATAGTAGGTTTTTCAATAATATTATCACTTCCAGTTAAATCCTCTAGTTGAGCATTGTCAAAAGAAACATCTAATGTTTGAACACGATATATGTCAAGATTTTCAGCTGCATAAATATTAACATTATTTAAAGAAACATTATCAATATGTAAAGGAAATGAATGCCATTGTCTGTGTGAATAATAATTTTCTTCGTGCTATAAAGAAAGTTTTTAATTTCGATAAATAAATCAAGCTTACATTTACTCGAAAAGGCAGATTTGATTTTGTACTTAGTGAACATTGAATTGATCCTTGAAAAGTAATATGCCAAAATGGTAAAAGACGTCGATTTACTGTAATAGCCCGATCTCGTGTTAAATTAACCCATCGTTTTGGTGTCAACCTCTTGGGAAACAAGAAATATTTTATAAATAATTTTTATAATTTAACTAACCATAAAGATTTTAACCATTTATCGAAATATAAACGAACTTCATATTCACTAAAATTTTCTCGAACTCCTTGAATTTTTCCATATTTTTCACTTGAAAGCAATCGAGAAAAGATAAAGAATGCCGGACCGTGTCGTTTAGATAAAATATAAGTTAATATCTTCATTTACACGAATTTGCTTCACTAAATAATATTAACAAGACATGTTCCCATTTATCTTATACTCTCGACTCCATTTTGTTTCATCGTCACTTCAGTTTAGAGAATTTAGAGTGACATCTGGCTCTATTCACATTTCAACCACATGTCGACTTTAAATAGTTTGCAAATATTTGGAACTTCACACAAAAAAAATAATCTATTTTTGATATTCCTAATAGTTTCCTAATGATGGCTAGCTATCTGTTTGAAAACTCGCTTCGATAGGATCAAACTAGTTCCATCTCCGTAGAAGAATCCCCCGAGAGTTTCTTTAAAAAGTTCCCTATGGATTGTCCTTAGGAATCTAGTACGAGCATTACAACTGTTACAAACTTTCGTATATGATGTCGTTTACCGTTGTAATCACACGAGTCTGTAGTAAATCAGAAATGGAAATTACTTTTACTATTCCCTACATCGTTAATAGAAAAATATCATTGTTTTTTTGTTTGAGTTATATTGACCGACGACATTGTTGCTGCGATTAATCTAAATGAAAAAAATGCAATAAACATTTGTCGTAGATTAATATTTATTTAAATTTGTAAGTAATCACAAAATATAAAATTTATGCATTTTTTCATAATTTTACCAGTATGTGCTTGGAGACTTTTTGTTTCAATTCGTATGCACTCCCTGAAAATCAGAAAACTCCTCTAGGAATTTCTTGGAAAGACAATCAGGAGTTGCTGAAGATTGATGTTGCAACTTTCAGATGACTTACCGGTAATTCTGCAAGTGACCATTGACTAGACAGTGATGATCTGGAAGAGACGCACCCTAACCAAAACTTTATCTATGAATGATGCAACGAAATGTGGATGGGCCGTTCAAATCTAATTGTCATCGTCTCAAGTATATCCCATGATAAACTGAATAGTTATTACTTTTAACTTTAATCAAATTTCGGGTGTGGATGTGGGTGTGGGTGGGAGAATATGGGTGTGTTGAAAACTCAAATAATGAAAAATAGATTTAAAGCGGAATACGAAGCGTTTCGACTCTCGCTCAAGAAGTCATCATCAGGTAATCTTTAGAATCTAAAACTACAAAATTTCGAAACAAGTAAATCCATTGATTAACCCCTTAATATTCGAAAGTCAATGAATTTCCAATACAGCAAAGGAGTAAAAGAGGAATACAACCAAGAAGTATTATACTTCATTATGTCATGATTTCGAAAGAAGGGCAATCAATATCAATGATTTCTTGTTTTATATTGTAGTGTATTTTATGAGGGTGACTTGAAAACTTAAATAATGAAAATTAGATTCAAAGCAGAATACGGCACGTTTCGACTGTTGCTTAATGACTGAATCAATTGATTTATTTGTTTTGAAATCTTGTAGTTTTAGATTCTAAAGACTATCTGATGATGACTCCTTGAGCAAGACATGAAGGGTGTGGGTGTGGGTGTGGGTACGTGTGGGGTGTGCATGTGGGTGGGTGTAGGTGTGGATGTGGATGTGGGTGTGGGGTGTGGGTGTGGATGTGTGTGATGAGAAGATATCCACACCCACACCCACACCCTTGTTCATGATTATAGATCATGACTTGGATAAATTTCGTTGATAAAAATCCTAATCAGATATGAACAATCTTATTAAAAACAAAAGAAAATGAAAAGAGAATTTAATTCGTTGCTGAGTTTGAGCAAATATATCATGGTAAAATATCAACAAAGATTATAATTATCATCATTATTTTGTAAATCAGATAACATGCCGGTATTCATGTAAGAATAATGAACAAAAAAAACGAAACAAAATCGGATAATGATAACTTATTTTAAGTAGACATGTTGATCATATTTTTCTTTCTATAGTTGCTATTATCTCGATTATTCAAATTTATTTTATTGACAATCGGCATTATTTTCATCTTTGTAATTTTTGTTTTTGATCCTATTCATTATTATCTTGAAACCAAAATTAGTTTGAAGATTTTCCTTCTATTAAAAGTATTAGTTTATGATAGTGATTTATATTCAATATTTGCAATAAATGATGATATATGCGAAAAATAGACATTGACGGTGTTTATATATACCACATATGATCAATTCTATATTTCACTGAGTGATTTCAACAATAGAGCAAAATATATATATGAGCATTTGTATTTCTTGTTGTACTTCGTAGTCTTCAAAATGAGAGTGTAGATGTTGGGTCGTCTATTTTTCTACAGTCACAATCACAACTTTTGTTGTTCATGTTGAATACCAAATGATTATATTGGCCGAAACATTATCTTCAGTCAAACGTGAATTAATAATTCTTCGTAGTTATATTTATTTATTTATTAAAAAGATATAAACAGAATTAGAAGAAAAATATATTTACAATGATGGAAAATAAAGATAGAAGTTTTCCGAATATACAATCGATATTGTATCAAAAATAATATTTTTCACTTTTGCAGTTTTCACGAGCAAGATCATTTGTGAAATTTTCTGTTGTAGTCATCAAATCTTGATAGTTAACATACAAGGTATTAAGAGAAGGTAAACGTGTCTTTGAATTAAATAAAAATTGTTTGACATAGTCGACGTGTGCACAATTAAGATCGATCTCTACGAGGTGTGAATACTCGATGATTGAAAATGTTTGTTCATGTTCATTGAGTTGATCTCTTACTTTCTTTTCTTGTTTCCATACATTGAGTAATGCTAATTGACTAATTAATGGAAAAGATTTCGATATTTTAACAAAGAAATCATGTTCAAATGGAATCCATAAATCATGTAGAGTTAGTTTATGAACGCTTATGAATAGACCATCGGGAAAACTGTTAGTTACATGACGCATACGTTTCATAGTAAATGGCAGCGAATAAATATGACATAAATTTATTCCTTGTGAATAATAATCAATATAACAATTAACATAATATCCTCTTTCAACGAATGTACACCGAACATCATCAGAAGATGGTTGTGCTCCTTGGGAAAAAATGACGTTTCTAGTGACGATATCAAAGGTAAATATACGTAAATGTGCCATTTTATGAAGTATATCGTTATGTAACTGTGTACCGTCAATAAATGAAGTTCGATCTCTAACGACAAGAGATAATGTAAGTTTCTCTAATTGTGACATATGATGAAGAAGTGGTACGATTTTAGTATCATATCCATTAGTTTGAGAAGAAATCAATGAGAAACATTTTAGATTATATAGAATTTTCTACAAAACAAAGACATCAATTAATACAGATAGTAATAGATATCTAACTTATTATTCCATCTAAGAATAAATTTAACATGTAGATAATCAAATATCTTCACCATATCTTCCATTCGTCTCTTTTAAAATTAAAATTCAATCAGATATTTATACAAAGCTCTATATATAATTATCAATCAAAAATAAGCGAATAGATAATTTTTTCACATATTTATTTTGTCTGATGTCTTTTCCGTTTTGATACTAGTTTATATCTATAGATATCTATCTTATTTGGTCTACATGCGAGAATGAACTCAGAACTCTTCATTTCCTACGTCAGTGCTGAGAAAAACCAATCTATAAAAACTTCATCTTTTTGAGATATATTTGGAAACTACTAGTTTAACTCAGAGATTTTGACTATTGAAACTGCAACGGAGGTAGCATTCTTTGAGAAAGAATGCTCCATTTTTTTTATTGAAAATCCTAGGAACCGGCAATGCTAAGTCACATTTTATACCAAAACTCCTATTTGTTATAAAGATGACGGCATGTAGAGTGTCCGTGCTGGTTCATCTATTCCCTTCTTCCGATACGCTTCCACCTCGTACATTTACACCATACAATGGTAGTACTTTGTACGGATCTAGTTCTCAAGGATATACATTGGCCTATCTGCCAATGTAAAAATATTAATAGACTATTGTAGCAGGTTTTAGAAGTCTCGTATAGCTTTTGCTATAAATCCTCTGATAAATTTGTTTATGAAAGTATATTCCAGCATAACGATCATCATACGTGGAAAACCGTCAATCTCTAGGTTCTATTAGAAATTCTTCAAAAAGCAAACGATGACCTTGTATTGTGGAAGAGATGCTAGTATCGAATTAGTTACAACAACCTGCATAGTAATTTTCTTTTTTTATCAACCTCATATAAACTGAAATACTGGAATTGTTTGTGATTCGAAATATTGTACCTTATTATCCAAAGTTTTCGAAGAATTTTGAATTTTGTCAATTTTGACGATGAATGTATGTAATTGACAAAGACTTCCATCAAGTAAACAAAGACAATCGTCAAAATTGCGTACTCTAACATTCAATTCAACAATGTTAGATGAATAACATACTGTAGATGGCAAATCAATAAGTAATAATGGTGGATACACAAAATTTTCTTCTAATTCAAAATTGAAATGAGTCAGATTTTTAAACGTAATAAAGATGATAACAAAAATATTTGTAGCTAAACTTCTTTTGTGTTCAGCTGTACTGTCATCGTTAATCGTTATCGCTAAATGCGAAATTTGATCTTCGTGGGTGTGAAAAAATGATGTTTCATCTACATATATATACCACAAATAAATAAATCAATTTAGTTTCCTTATTTAAACATTGACAAAAAACAAATACTATACCATTGAAAATACGATATGCCATTTCAATTTCAAGATTAATAAGATTAAGTTTATGAAGTCTAGAATAATTGCCAATGCAAAGAACACGTTCCATTGATAACGAATCAAGAGTAAAACATTCAATACTGTCTTGAATTCTTATTTTTGTTTGATGATAATATCGTTAAATCAATAGATCGTGTGAAAGTAATATCTCGAGCTAGTTTATCTAATCGTTGATTGACTCCAATGAAAGAATATAATAAGTCAATATTAGTCAGTTTATTGAAAATGGTCAACAACAGCTCGTCACATAGAAGAGAAATATTAGCAACTGAATAACTCATATTCGATGAGAAATAAAAAATACTGTTCATACAATCGTTTATATATTCATTCGATATTATATCCGACGACATCAACAATGACCATACTCAATAGTTCGACGGTGAATATTGTAACCTTTGATCACAGTCAAGTTTGTTCATAAATGAAAAATGATCTTTCCTCAAGATGAAGGTCAGCAATAACAGCTGATTTCCTCCAATTATGAAACACCAAAAAAAAAAATATTCTGTTTGAATTAACTTTTCACAATTAGACAAAACTGGCTAACTTCTAAACTCCATTACAATTCTTTTGTTTTCTCTCTTTGTAACACATTTCCATATTCGATATTCTATTGCTCCATTGAACATACTGTTTCAACTACTACTGAATCGTCATTTTAAACTGTGCATTACAGTGGCGTAGCCAGGGAGTGGCCATTGGGCAATTGCCCAATAGTTGAAAACTTATTGGCCAATAATTTTCTGAGAAGATAGTTATTGCCCAATATCAAAACATGTTGAGTGACACGCATGTTCAGAATCGAAATAACTTTATTTTATCAAATTGTCTCGTATAATAATTTAATCTAAGTAGTTATTGGGTTGGTAAGAAATTTTTGTCGTTTTTTTTTTTGAAAATTTTATTTTTATTTTTTGATATCAAGGATACAACTAGCTTTCAACAATGTATGCTCCGTTACTATCTATGACTTGTCGCCAACGCTTTGGTAGAGAAAGGATCCCGTGTTTGTAGAAGTCCTGCGACTTTTGGCCAAAAAAGTTGAGGAGGTCCATTTCCAGGTCGTTTTCGTCGTCGAACTTTTTCTCCTTCAAATGGTTAGAAAGAGAACGAAACAAATGGTAGTCCGCAGGAGCCAAGTCTGGAGAATAAGATGGATGTGAAACCGTAACCCATCCGAGCTCCAATAATTTTTCACGCATCAATTTTGCAATATGGGGTTTGGCAGTGTCATGCAAAAAATAAATTCTATCCTGCTTCCCCTGAAGCTTTGCTGCAACCAGGTCTAATTGCTGGCAATAGAGATCAGCAGTGATAGTGCAATTAATTGGAAGAAGTTCCCAATGAATAATCCCTCTTACTCTCCACTAAACGCTCAGCATAATCTTCTTTTGGTTAAGGTCATCTTTGGGTGTTGCTACAGCTTTTTGTCCAGGTCCCAGCCACTGCCGCTTGCGCGTGTGATTAACATACAACACCCACTTTTCACCGCCGGTAATAAGATTGTAAAGCCATCGATAGTTGCGATGAGATTTCATTAATTCCATACAAGCATCAACTCTGTGTTGGAGCTGATGTGGTGACAAGTCATGTGACATCCAACCTCCATATTTTCACGTTTTGCCTAATTCGTGCAGATGTGTTTCCACTGTAATATGCGAGCACCCAAGACGCTCTGCTAAACACCGTGTAGTCAATCTAGGATCTTCTTCGATAAGCTCCTTTAAGAGATCCATATCCACCTCTAGTGGTCTTCCAGTATGAGGTAAATCTTCGAGTTCGAAGTTACCGTTCTTGAACCGATTGAATCAACGTTGCACTGTACGAATGGAGAGCGCATTCTTGCCCATCGTATGGCATATGTTGCTTGTTGTTTCTGTTGTTTGGGGACACAGACGGAATTTATGAAGCAGAAACACTCGGAGCTCTCTACGAGATATCATCATTTCTAATTCGAGATCAGCATGTATATCCATAGTTTTATTGTTGTTCGAAAGATATTTACACTCCCTTTATATACTCTTAGTATGGAAACTTCTAGAACTTTCTTGACTGTTCTAGGAAGTTACGGAAAAAAAACGACAAAAATTTCTTACCAACCCAATATATCCAAAATTCAAATTAATTATTTTCATGTAATCTACAGTTCTAATGGTTGAATTTTCATACGAATTATAACGAAATCTCATGGATGTAAGCGTGAACATTTATATAAATGAAATGATTGAGAACTATATGTTGTTGTGGATGATAATAATAATAAAGTGTTTAATGTAAATGTTAATTCATTTGGAAAACCACATAATAAGGCTAATTCTAATTTTTCATGTTCACTTCAACGAAGAAAATCACAAAATAAACTATATTGAGCATGTAATGAATCTAATAAAGACTTTATTTAAAGAAGCTTGTTTTTTAGAATTTATTTACCGGAAATAATATGTTGATTATGATTATATGATTGTAGTACACGTTGTAATTGTGAAACATTATGTCGTTTAGAATGTTCATCATCATGTAAATCAATATTTTCACCATTACTGATTTTTTCAAATGCATATAAATATCTATTTAAAAAAATCACGATTGAGACTGGAATGAAAATATTTGATCTTCTTGAATATAAATATTTTTTAAAGCTTGTGTACCATTAAGACATGATGAATCAAGACCAAAATTATTTGCAATTGTTGACCATAATTGGCGATCATTAACTTTATCCCAGCTACTATAAATAGTAACAGTTGTGTATAATGATTGTAAATCAACAACTTACCTAACTATGGTCGCCAAACAACGAAATGTTGTTCTAGAAAAAATCAGAAATATATTCTTTATTTTTTTTTAATTAAATAAAATAATACATAATGAGGGCATTGATGAAATTCTCAAAGACGTTTAAGAAATTCTTCATAAAAAGATAAGAATGTTGAAGGAGGAGGAGGAGCAGGAGTATGTGATAAATTATTATTATTCATCAAATCAGTATTTGTTGGATAAAAATTTGTATTTGTTATAGTTGAAGGTTGAGCAGATAAATGAATAAGAAAAACCGATGATGATGAGGATGATGATTGGAGATTATTTGTTGTTGTTTTGCATAAAATTGGACGTGGTTGAATTGGTGGTAGTGTTGTCATTATTTTTGTTGACTCGAACTTTAAAAGTGAGAGACAGCAATTCTAGTATTATAGATACCAAAGAATCGATGCTTAGCGATATCTATTAACAATTAATCTTTAAAAAGGTCAGAATCAATAATATGGTTCAATAAACGAAACATCGATTAGTTTATGAGGAAACAATGTTTCTTTATAAAAGTCGTTTTATTACAACATGTAATCTATAAGAAAAAACTGATTTTGTTTTAGATAAAACTCACTATTTTGTATCGAAATAAAAATAAAATGTCTCAAAATAAAATTACGGTAATAAAAAACAATAAATAGATACAGAAATCTTATAGAAACGCTCTTTTATTTAGATTGAAAATTTAACTAAAGAAGAACTTGTTCACATGATATACAAAAAAAATGAATTAATTGAAAAATTAAATGCCCTCAATAAAATACAAGAAGAAAATGATAAAACAGATTCATTGGACAAAGTAATCAATTAACTTTTGTATTTTTCTATAAATATGAAATTATGCAGCAGTGTCATATATCCCGAATTTTGGAGACATATATCATATTTCGAGTTGGAGACGTAGCATCTTCTGCGAGATATGAAGGTGCATCTTCAAAATTTGGAATATGCGACACTGCTTCGTATGTCGTACAATTATTAAATTTATTAAATAATGTTGTTGTTGTTTTTTGTTTGACAGGAATCATTAGATACATTGTTACACAAGAGATCAAATACTATTATTGATACTACTTCATTATCTTCTGAAGTATCTGTTCAATTATCAATTGATTCACCCAATGAATCATTGACCAATCATAAAGAAAAAATAAAATCGAGTGGTAAGTGTCCAGTTCGACTTAAACAAATAATCAATTAAATTTTAAAAATATATAAAAAATTATTACAAAGAAATTGTTTTGTTTTTGTAAGAAATTTAGTTTAAGTAAACATGGAACAAATACTAGTTGGCACCATTAAGTAAATGTAAACTTAGTTTATATTCTTTGAAATAGTTGTGAATACAAATCATTGTAGAGTCTGAAATGACTTCCTCAAAAATTTAAATTTAACAGAAATCGTAAAAATTTATAACATTTATAAATGGGGTCGAGCTTTATAAATAGGGCCGACATTTATAAATAAGGTTGAGATTTATAAATCGGTTTATAAATGTCGAACCTATTTATAACATTGGAACCCATTTATAAATCTAGAGTTGGTTTGTATAGTGAATCGAGAATATTCAACTAAATCTAGCAGTATGTGAAGTCGAGCTTATATTCAAGACATTAGAAATTTTTTCTTAAGCAAACCACCATTACTAACACAATAAAACGGTTTTGCACACATTGTCTATCATGTAGAACAGAGATCCCTGTATTTTACATTCTGATCACATCGAATGCTTCTCCGTCTCATTCTGTGTGATTTTCCTAACCTTTCTTCATTCACTTAAGAATCCGAAACGATATTCGTTTTCGAAAATTTTATCATTTATCAAAAATTACAAAAATTTAGAGCTTTGACCTATTTAGGACTCTTCAGCGATACAAATGCATTTTAAACATACGCTCGCCTTGATCTATACATCGATTGATGTGACCAATATGTTAATTGAGTGCGACGGTGTGCTTATAAAGTGCATTAAGACCAATGTATTGTCACTGAGATGTTGTTTTGTAAAGTTGATTCATTAAACAAATCTGTTGTCGAACGTAATTTGTTTCCTTTATACAAAGTTTAGTTTAAAAATTCAGATGAACTAAATAGATATCATTTTAAGTGAAAAAAAAATTGCAAAATTTAGTAGTTTAAATACTTGTAAAAGAAATAATGTACATAAGAAATAAGATTAAAAGGATTAAAACATTTTTCTTTGAATTTGTTTAATGATTTTGCTTTCGATGAGTATCATATCTATATGTCATATGATCTCCTGAAATTGAATTATTAATTCGATCTTTTCTAAACATTTTGATATTGAGAAAAGACCGTTGAAGATATTCAAATCATTTGAAAATCGGTTTACAAATCGCCAAATATATTTTCTTCTTCAGTTATTATTACATACACTGCTATTAGCTTATATCCCAGCTATAAAATGGAGAAAGAAACCATCTGATTCAAGTCGATTAAGAGCCCTAATTAGTATTAAAAATGAAATGAAACAAGGTTCCATGTTTTGAAGATAGTTTTATTTCTATCTATGAAAAAAAAAAAAAATATTCATTTATGTTTATTCTTTTTCACATTATAACCAACAGATATCGGACTGTCTATTTAATTTAGGCCGATTAACATTGGCAACTATTTATAATATTGCACACAAATTGATGGTTAACATAAGTACACATGATAAAGAAGATTGATCACGTGATCTTAAGTTTGTTCTTTGTATCGCTGCAGATTCATTTCAATTTTTTTGTTAATCGATATTATTTTGTTATTTTTGTTTCATTTGCCAGTCTAAGAACAAATAATACCAATGTTCTATTTATATATAAAATTGCGCATCGATATCTTATGATGTCGATCGACCAAAAAATAAAAGAATTTTTTCTCAGTTACATTCGAATAATAAAAATCTGTCCCTTCTATCTTCGTATTATATTTAATTATTTACTTGTTAATGGGAGATTCGTTTTAATTGATCGATAACTAATTTTTTTTTTGAATATGCTTTATGTTATTACGACTGAAGACACTTACAACATCGATAACTAATGCACACGTTTTATCTTGTTGAATAAACTCATGAAATATGAATCCGAGAGGCATCTTGTTGCTGGTTGAGCAAGACAGAGTGAGCTTGATGGAATAGATGAGGCAGGTAACGATCAATACGGTGGGCAAAGTTATTAATGGAAAAAGTAAGACTAGCAGAAAACTGACGGTATTGAGAATGTTGAATAGCACACACAAATAGTTATAACACAAGCTGTTGATTATGCATTTGATGGTAAAAAAATAATCACCATTTGTATCATTATTAAAGAATTTTATTTCTTTTGTTGTTGAACCATCCATTTCTATATCATTATCATCTTCTTATTCATCATTTGATGTTGGTGAAATAAAGCCATCATCTGATTGTTGATCTTATGTTGTTGTACATGTTAAAAGAGCATTAAATGATTGTTTTATAAGGACAGTTTTAGCTGTTGATAAATGATCACATTTATGTGATATTGCATTTGATCATAAATTTTTTATACAAGTTGCCGTTATTATTATTATTATTATTGATTTTATTTGCTCCTGTTATTCAGGTTCTTGACAAGAATGTTTTTCAAATTTTGTATTGATTGATTCAATTTTTGATTTAACTTCAGAAAATTCGTCTCTTGAACCATCGATTCAGCTACTTTAGCTGCAAGTTCATTATTATTTGACACATGAACTTGTTATTGTGTAATATATTTGTTCAAAATACCCTATTTCTTTACTTAATAATTGTGATTCGAATAGTATAACTTCAAGTTTTTGCTGACTTAATTAAGTTAGTTGTGATTTATGTTGAACGCAATCTAATAGAACAACTGAATTTTTTTTCTTTTTTTTGTAACAATTCGTTTAACTTTATTCAATTTCTTTTTAGTTATCAAATACAAATATTGTATTTTAAACTTCATTGGATCTGTTATTGTTACTTTCATAATGGATTTGTTGGATATTTTGCCAAAATGGCTTATTTTGATTATCTCGTTACTACTATTTGTTACAATTGATTTATTATGTTATAAACATACATCGATATTACTTGAAGCATATGCTTTTTTCATGTCATTAATCTATTCTATTAAATCCAATGAAACATAAAATAGAACTCTTGAAACAGCATCGTCATCATACAATTCAACAACACACAACGATTAATTGAATAGATAATTCATATGATTATATATTTTTTTTTGTGTCGAGTCAAGTGTAGTAAATAAGTTATACTTTTTGATAGTTTGTCTTTTTACTCGTATAACATTTTTATTTTTCATCGGACAAAAAGTTATACAAGAAAAAGACAGACTATCAAAATCTACGATTGATTTATCTCACCTAACTTTATATTGTTCATTCTTTTTTGCTGTTAGTTAGTTGCTTCTTTTATGTCTATTATTTGTTTCTGTTCTCTTTAGTCAGATGCTCTATATTTTTTATATGTTTTAAATGCTCTTATAAGACATATCATGTGATTCAGATGAATATTGATTTACTCTTGAGATGATACTACATTGAACAAATGATAAGCGTACATGTTGCATTATCCTCAATTTTCCATCTTCTACTGAATCTGTATGTCGTAAAATATGAGTTAATCATTTAAAATGCTATCTAATATTAGGTATTCGATAGAGAATACCCGTTACGACAAGAATAATACCGATAAGTTCTGAAACAAATAAAGTTCAGAAAATACGTAAAATAAGAAGACAATGACAATCTTGTGAACCAAATTTAATTTAAAATGTATTAATAATAATAATAATGTCATCAGAATTGATATGAGCTGGAGAATTTGGATAAGGTTGTGATTGATTCAATGATGGAAATAATGATTTATTAACATCATTCACAATTGCAAAAGGATAAAAGAGAATTGGGTAAGCATCATACACATCCACAATTTGTCGATATTGTCATATTATTCATGTTCGATGACAAAGCATCTTAGCAAGTTTCAACATTTCATCTCTATTCACTAGTATGTTTAAACAAATACACTCAGTATGCATCGTACTTTTTTGAAGACAGTTGCACAATATTCAAGATGGGACGCATATGAGCTTATCTTGGACAACGCAATAAAATAGCCAACTAATGAAGTCAGTGTGTGCATAGATGATAAAATCTGTATTGGTAAGAATCACCGACCGACCATTATTAGCAATTATACGGATAAAATTAATTGATTGTTTGAAAGTTTTAAACGCGAGCCTGTTCATTGTTTGGAATAGCATAGATGGTTGAAAGTTGAATGTTCAATGCAAATATATTGATGACTTGAATTTGTGAAGAAGGCCATGGTAATGCTGGAGTATTATATCATAACAATGTTGCTAGTGTGTCATTATTGATCCAAATAACAGATCGTGTTGATTGAGTTTTATCAGTATAATATTTGTACTACTGAATTGTAAGAAAAATATTTCTCTAAAAACGGCAGATCAACGATAATTGGTTGAGTGACATGCTCAATTGACACAGACATACTATAATCAAAATTGTAACTATAGATAAATGCACCATCTAGCCAACGATACATTAGAAGATTCATTTAAGTTCTTTTCTTTCCACGGAAAGTCAACTTTATAATTAGAGGTGGAATATTACTATTACTTTTTATTACTATTACTCGGTAATCAGTAATCATTTTTATTACTTTATTACTTATTACTTTTTATTACCGTTTACTATTTTTTTCATTACTTTAACAGTATTAGAGCTTTTATTCCTTCTTATTCACCGTAGCTCAATGAGTTTTCTACAAGTTTATTACTAATTACTTTTATTACTCTCAAAGTTTTAGTACCTTATTACCAGTGATAAGTAATAAAAAACCTTATTACTTATTACGAGTAATAATGTAATAAAAATGTGAAAGCAATAAAAGTAATTAGCAATAAGTAATAATTATTACTAGTAATAAATGCTTATTAAAGAATATCAGTTAGAATGATTTTGAGACCTACTCATGGATGATCCCAAGATCTATTTAGGACTTACCTATAGGGATGGTATTTACAGCTTTTTAGAACATGCTCAGGTATGGTCTCTAAAACTATTTGAGATCTATCTAGAGACGATATTTAGAAGTTTTTACGGCATGCCTAGGTTAATGGCTTAACTCTTTGAGACTTGCTTAAGAATGATACGTACAGCTTTTAGACATGTCTCGAGATGGTATTTCGCACTTAATGAGATCTCCACAGGGATGGCCTGTGTAATTTTTGGGAACATATGTAGTGGCATTCCTTACATCTCTCTGAGCTCTGCCCAAAGACCTTACAAAACCAATCCTGGATAGGTCCTGAAAACTTCTAAATATGATCTATACTTCGAAAAAGAAGTGTCATAATTGACCTTTTTCCGTACCGTTTTGTGAACCTCTTTTTAAGTTCTTGTCAGAAAGTCTAGAACTTAAAATGATTTGGAACAGAAATGTAGCACTAGAAAAAATTTCAAACTGTTTAGCTAGTACCTTAAAAAAAGGTTTAGAAGGTGATACTCTACTCTAGAACCTAATTTTTCAGGATCTTCGCTAAAACACTTAACCTCATGAATACCGATTAGTTCTTGTGTTCTGCAAGAACATGGAGAAAAATTGAAGAATCACTCTCTCTTGCGTTCAGTCCCTGTTAATTAGCTGTATATATCCGATATAGTCTATTGTATATGAACGATCCTCTATACTAATCGACGTCAAAATATAATACGCCTCGATATTTTTTTTTAATTATCTCGAGAACGAAAGCAGCTAGAAACCTGTGGTTTTCGCCATCCGAAGAAGAAATGTGGAGGAAGTATTAGTAAATTTTTATAGAGCGAACAATTTTCTGTATTGTTTTTATCTTGATATAATATTTCTAGTAGCATTTTAAGATTTTGAAAGAGATAAAAATGTCTCACTCTTTGTACATTATCTCTGTCAGTCTCTAAATGAGTTTGAATATAATTAAACTAAAATTCATAAAAGTAAGGTTCACGGATTATTTGCAAAAGAAAATTTTCAATGAAAAGTATACGGTCATATGACGAACTGAAAGTGCTCTAGAATTGCTTTTAAAAAGAGAAAAAACGTAATGTTAGGTAGTATTTGTCATGATAATACTTATCTTTTCAAACAGAAAAAAAATCCTTTTATTTCATCGAAAAAAAAAATTGAAGTTATTTTAACATATGATGCACTGCCTTGTTTGTCTGACGAGGGAACACCACCAAACTGATCAATCGCTATTCAAATTTTAGTCATGCCAATTTGTAGAGGTTGTTGAGTTATTAACAGATATAATAATCATTCTTCCCAACAGCCCGCTTTTAAGAGCAAACCTATATACATAATGTTCAGTGTCTATACCGGGTCAAAGGTCAATGGAAGTCTGAATAGTTGATCTTTGAGTTTCGACTTTAGGGCAGACACTAGGGTATGGGCGTGGGTGTGGGATGTCCGTGAAGACGCCTCTTTTGTCCACACTCATACCCACACCCTCGGTTACTATGTATTAACACAGAATTCTTTGTCTTGCCATGCATAGTGAATACAATATTTTGCTTTTTCTCCTAAGGGCTAACCCTATGAATTTCTTTTAATGAACAGAATGAATGAAATTTTCACTTCTGACATTGAATAAAAAACTATTATCGAAAACATTGTCAAATATACCTGAACCGCTAATATGTTATAGAAAAAATTATGCTGAACAACTTTTGTTCCAGAACTAAGGGCTGCTTTTGAAATCAAGTAGCAGATAGGAACGCAATTATGTTAGATGGAATGATTTACGTGCATTTTGTATGGGTTCGCTCTAATTTGGGACAATATTTGCATATGCGTTACAATTAAGGACAATGCACCTATTTAGAGCGTTTTTAAATGATGATCACGAAGTTTGATAACAATATATCTAATCATCAGAGCAACATATTCAGCTGAATCTTTGAAGACTGATAGAAAAATATATAAGGAACAAGTTCTCTACCGAATATTTGACTTGATTTCGAAGCTGTCAGCAGATACGACACGATTTTTGCGACGTATTTGCTTGTCTATATATTTTCGCTGGTCCGCTCCAATTTGGTGCAACTTTTACACATACGCTCTTATTGGAAGCATTGCACTTATTTAGAGCGAAACCAACTGACTTCATTCTATCGCTCATAACTGGATGATTTTTTTAGGTTTTAAAAAGTTTTTTTATCAATAGAAAGAAAAGACTTGTTGCTACTCACTTATTAAATTTGAGCTCATTTGCTCGCTGTTTCACTGAGATATTAAAGAAGAAACATGAATATTTAAAACCTCCACTACAATTAGGCTCACCCACTCTATAAACAAGTTGATATACAATTAAATCGTTTATCAAATATTCAACAAGATGTTTTTATTAGTTATAGAAGTCAAATTTTATTTGATGTATGTTTACATTCATCACTTATAGGACAAAATTGTACTATTGATAAAAAAATAAAAATTGAAAATTCAATCATATATGATAATGGACTTATTCGTAATAGTGTACAAATTGATAAAGAACGTATACTTGGTAAAAATGTTATTATTGGTACAAATGTTCATTTAAATCAACGTATGACTATGATTGCATCGAATTCTATAACATCAACAACTGTAATACATGAAATTGAAATTGATGATGATATTGAAATATCATCAGAAAATGTTAAACATTCGAATTTCAAACAAAGATCTAATTCCATAAGTTCATCAGAAAAATTTATTAGTTCAAGCAATGGAGAAATAATGATATCAAATAGTGATTTAGTTGGTGTCGATGGTTTTGGTAAAGAGCTTATTTTTAATTCTGTATATGATGATCAAGCAGAAAATTTTGAACATAAGGATGATGATGATAAAAATCAATTAAATGTGTCTGATGCATGGTGTTATCGTATAGAACGTAGAGAAAATAGATGTTCATCAGTCATTTTAAATGAGGACTTTCAAGAAGCAGTTATTCTTTCAAAAGAAAATATCGCATTCAGAAAAATCAAATTATTGGAAGACATTAACATTAATTATGGGTCAAATAACACAATTTATATTAAAAAAAATATATGAAAATAACAAATGAACAAACATAAATATTATTATTAAAAGAATTAGATTTAATTTGTTTAAAATACGTATATTCAACCAATTGGTGAATGCATTGTTAATATATTAAATTATTTATATAATGATGTTATTGATGAACAATGAATTCTTCAATGGTATGAAAATAAACAAGAAAAAATTGAAAATAGTTAATTAATAATAAAACCAGAAGAAAATATTTACTATAATAAACTTGAGCAATTTGTTGAATGGTTACAAACTGCTGAAAGTGAAGACGACGATCTTGACGACGAAAATTAGAAATGTATACATTTTAAGTTTATTAATATTTTTTTTTGCTACAAAAGAAATAAACAAGGTTTTAAATATCGATGACAGTAGTTTTGATTACTAACTTTTTTTTCAACATTTATTTCACACTACTATTTGTCAATAAAATAGAGATACTGCTCTTCAGGTTGATAGCAACCTCTCTGACTTTTTTTTT